TTTTCCGGTTGATAGATGAGATTTTGATATAGGGGTCGGAATGGAATTCCGGAAATTGTAGTAGGTCCGTTGTGTCATTTGGGATGTGGGTGCAAAATTTCAGGTCATTCGGACGTGGGTTGATAGACTTTTTGATCGAAAGCGAAATTTAGAAGATTTTTTGAATTCTTAGGCTTGAATCCGATGCGAATTTGGTGTTTTGATGTTGTGTTGAGCATTCCGAAGGTTGGAACAAGTTTGAATGATGTTATGAGATATGTTGGCATGTTTGGTTGAGGTCCTGAGGGCCTCGAGTGAGTTTCGGGTGGTCAAACAGACTATTTCATGTTGTGGAAAGTTGCAGAAACTGCTGTGTGTGTTGCAGATATTTGGCCTTTGCGTTCGCGAGTGGTCCTTCGCGTTCGCGAAGGGTTAGGCTGGGAGGCTGTGAAGTTGGCCTTCGCGTTCGTGAAGGAGGTCCTGCGATCGCGAAGGGTTGAGGCTCGAGGTTGGTTTGTTCTTCGCGAGGAACGTTGAGCAACTGGGTTCAGGTTGGTTTGTTCTTCGCATTCGCGGATGGGGAGTCTCATTCGCGGTGAGTAAGGAAGCTAAGTCTTCGCGTTCACGTGCTGGGAGTCGCGATCACAATGAAGGAAAATTTGGTCAACGTCAGTTTGTGCTTCGCGAACGCGAGGCTTTGACCGCGTTCGCGAAGAAGGATTTGAATGCCTGGGTAGAATGTTTAAATAGCCATTGTCCGTGGTTTTGGGGCTAACTTTCACCATTTTTGAGCGGTTTTGGAGCTTTTTGAAGAGGATTGAAGAGGGAGTCAAGGGGGAACACTTGGAGGTAAGATTTATGGACTTAATACTCGATCCTAATGTGTTTTCTACCTAATTAATCATGAAATTTAAGCTTAATATTGAAGAACAATGGCTTGTAATTGGAGACCTAGAATTTGGGATTTGAGGGGTCATTTGTGGTTGGATCTTGATGCTTTTGATATGAATGAACTCGGGGAGTGATAAGGAGTTCATTGATGTAATTTTTATCAGAATCCGAGACGAGGGACCGGGGTTGGGTTTGGCCAATTTCGGGATTTGTGTTGTGATTTGATTTCTTTCAAGTGGGCTTTATTCCCTTAGCATATTTTGATGGGTTTGCACTGATTTTGGTTAGATTTGAAGCATCCGGAGGCCGATTCGAGAGGCAAAGGCATCGCGGGCTAGAGTTTGGACCGGATTGAGGTGAGTAATGATTGTAAATGTTGTCCCGAGGGTATGAAACCCCGAATTTCACATCGTTGTGCTATATAGAGGTGAAACACACGCTAGATGACGAGCGTGGGGTCGTGCACCATTGGTGATTGTGACTTAGTCCATCCCGAATTATTGTTTTATCGTGTATTTGATTTAAAACTGTTTACTATCGTCATGTTTTGGGTTAAATGCCATATTTGGGCCTCGTGCCAACTATTTGGACCCTTAGAGGATTTTTACTGTTATTTTCTCACTGTTTTGATTTTATATATGTACTCAGTCATGCAATATTATACTATTTTCATAACTCAGTCATGCTTACTCTGTTTTAACACATTAAATGATATTTTAAATGCTATTTTGGGCGAAGCATCATGTTTTATTGTTGCCCGAGTGGCTTATGAGATTTTGACTGAGTAAGGCCGAGGGCCTGTATTGTGAGGATACTTTTGGGTCGGGCTGCACGTCACAGCAGTGATACACTGATTTATGATTATGAGGCCGAGGACCTGAGTTGTACGCCACAAGGTGGCTTGATATGAGGCCGAGAGCCTATTGATTATGCCACGAGATGGCTTGATATTTCGCTTGGGCCGTAAGGGGCCCGTCTCGGAGTCTGTACACCCCCAGTGAGTGCGGGTACCCATTGTGATATGAGATATAGCCCGGGGGGCTGGTGTTGTTCCAAATTGTTGCCCGAGGGGCTGATTCTGTTGGTATTGTGCCCGAGGGGCGGTTTTTATGTGTTTATCTTTTCTAGCTGCCTGTCATTTACTTGTTTAACTGTTAAAAAGGTATTTTGAAGAAGCTCATACTGAACTAATGTGTTTTATGATATTTCACTATTTTATTGCAGTTTACTGGTTTTACTTTGCCTCTGTCTAGCATGTTGTTGTGTTTTTACGTGATTTCTTATTGCTCAGTCTTCATTTATTATTATTACTCACTGAGTCAGAGTACTCACATTACTCCCTGCGCCTCTGTGTGCTGATACAGGAGCCTCGGGTCCCGCTAGAAAGTGCTGATTGCTTCTAGCTCAGCCGGTTCAGAGTCACTAGGTAGCTGCTCGGCGTTCGCAGCCCAATGCTTCTCACCCTATCTTATTTTTCCTTGTTTTACTTCTGCAATAGACTATGTAGACTCTTCCTACTTTTAATCGGTTATTAGATGCTCATGACTGATGACACCCTGATGTCGGGCTGTGTCGATTCTATAAATTGTACACTCTCACTGTTTATTTGGGATTTAATCATGTTAAATACTTAAATTATGTTATTTTAATGGCTTAAAATGAATTTGTTGTGTGTCGGCTAGCCTTGTCTTCACGAGAGGCGCCATCACGACGTGGTCTGGGTTTAGGGTCGTGACACATATTGGCAGCTGTAAGATACTTGAAAGTTGAACATTATTTGTTTTAATTGTGTGTTGTTGCAAAGAATTGTTGTGTGTTGTTGCAAAGAATTGATAATTATCTCTACGTCTCTCTCTATCTCTCAATCCCTAATTTCAGTAATGTAAAGCAAAGGAAAAGAGAGCAGCAATTCCACCATTGATAACCATTAAAAAGCTTTGAATCTTTAAATTTGAATTTGGGTTTTCAAAAACATTATTTGTTTGGATTGGGTATAGTTGCAAACAATTGAGAATATGATTTAGAGTTTATATCTTAATTTTGAGGGTGTTTTGGTGAAGATTGGATTTGATTTTGGCTAAATTTCAGATTGAAACTAGAAGAAGAAGAAGAAGAAGAAGAAGAAGAAGAAGAAGAAGAAGAAGAAGAAGAAGAAGAAGAAGAAGAAGAAGAAGAAGAAGAAGAAGAAGAAGACATGATATACATTATATTTACGAAATTGTAGTAAAATTGTATAAAAATTATATTTAAGTGTATGATATTATAGTTATATATAACTGAGTAGAAATAATGTAAGAAAATTGTTGATAACCTGTAGATAAGATGTAGATAAATTGTATAATATATAATTTTGTATGAAATTTATTTTTACTATATATAAATCAAATACAAAATATACAAAAGACATATTGTATAAATTTTATATAAAATTTGTATTTAAGTTGTATGTTATTGTAGTTTTATTTAACTGAGTAGAAATAATATGTGAAAGTTGTAAATAAGTTGTATAATATATAATTAATTGTATGAAATTTATTTTTACTGTGTATAAATTAAATACAAAATATACAAAAGACATATTGTATAAAATTTATATAAAAACTATATTTAAATGGTATGATATTGTTATTGTATATAATCATCTTTGCTGAATTATGAACAACTTTCAAAGCTCTGTCCTGAGGAAATAAGAGCTTTGTTATACTGATGTGCTTGCATATTCCCCAATAAAAAATATCCATTTCTTCTGAATCTTCGTCGGTAAGTTCTAAATATGCTTATTGATAAATCTGCTTCTACTTTTGGAGGAAACTTGGACTGGGAATATATATATATATTAACACTTATTTTTTTCTAATTGTCGAGCCTCCAATGGAACCCAGTGTATCTTTTTGTCGGACAGAGACTCCTCCACCAATTGAACGATGATGGGTTGCTTGCCTTGAGACACTTTCTTTTTTTACTGCCACCATTTTTCTTTTTTTTCATCTTCTGTAAATTAAAATATTTTGAATTCTTGTTTCTGGTTTTCGTTGTATATTTGGGTACTTAATAAACCTAGACTCGAACAAATTCTGCATGTTAAGCAATCCATTTCTCCTTAAATTTGGAGAAGTGGAGTATAAATATCGATTGTATATATATATATATATATATATATATATATATATGCTTTAATTTTTCTTTGTGAATGAATAAATTATCTTCTTGTGCTGGATATGATACATACAGTTTCTTAAGAATGCAGAACATCGTTCAGGATCCAATACCATATTTAACTAATATAAAGAAAGTTTACACTACATATGTAAATGGAAGATTGGATATTGCACTGTATCAATCAAATTTGATAAGGAAAATATATTGAAGATATATTCATTAAAAGTCACGCAAAAAATTATTTGGAGTGTGGGTGGAAGATCAAGAGAGAAAAAAGGAAAGAGGAGAGAAAAAAGAAAAAGGGTGTAACTACATCCCTTGATTGAAAACACAAATAATGGATTGAGAGCCTTTTAAGATGGATTGTATATATTTTGTAAACAAAACTTGTTTATGCCGGATAATTAATTAAACATGAACATTAAGAGTAATAAAGTTTCAAATAGTGTATATGAATGAAAAAATCTCTTTATTGAATTGTGTGGATTTGCATACCGAAAAGGTCAATTACGTGGATTTTCATGTGCATAAAGACCACCCAAAGAGATTTGTTTTGTGATTTTTCACATACGATTCATTTTTTTTTATGTCGGGTGTCTATTATTTGCTTTTATGTCCGACAAATTCGAATTTGCGCTAAGAAAGTCTTACGCTGTAGTAAATCACTTCCTATTAAAGGTGACTTCATACTTATGACTCGAATTCCGTACTTTTGGTTAAGGATAGGAGAGACTTTGCACTGTGGTGGTACGTTTTATTTTAAGGAATGAACGTAGGGATGAAACTTCAATTTGTTTTATATTAAAAGAGGATTTTCTCATTTTGTTTCTCCTCTAGTCCATTTGTGTTGTGTACCATCCGGTTGAATGTCTTGCCATTTGTAAGAGATGAAAGCAAGGGGTAACTGACATATAACATGACAATTTATTTTACGTCTACTTCTCAACCACTTTGATACAACCTATGACCAATTGATAGTCACTATATAGAGACAGATAAAAAGAAAGAAGAGAACATAGGAAAAAGAGTAGTAGAAGAAGAAGAAATCACTAGAGGGAGATGGAAGAAGGAAAGGGGAAGGGAAAATTATGTGTAACAGGAGGAAGTGGTTATCTTGGATCATGGATGGTTATGAGACTTCTCCAACTTGGTTATTCTGTTAACACCACTATTAGGTCTCGTTCAGGTAATATGTTATGAGTTTAAGTTATATATACTATCAGGGTAAAAACAATTACACTATTAAATCATCCAAATAATATTTACCGGTAAGTCTCCTTAAAATATAAAATTTATAATCTTGAAAAATAAAACAGGTTACCAGCAATCCTGGGGTTTGGTTCCTCACGTGTTTTCAGTCTTTAATGGAACAGTATTTAGGCCAACTGCCATATTTGTTTTGCCATGGTCTTGTACCTTTTTTGTTTGCAGAAACAATTCTTGCCTCCGTGGTTTTATGACTAGTAAAATCAGACGAATAGAGGGCAGCCCGGTGTACTAAGCTCCCGCTATACGCGAGGTTCGGAGAAGGGCCGGACCACACGAAACTATAGTACGCAGCATTACCTTGCATTTCTGCAAAAGGCTGTTTTCACGGCTTAAACTTGTGACCTCCTGGTCACATGCAGCAAATTTACCAATTACGTCAAGGCTCCCCTTCAATCAGATGAATGTCTAATAAAATTCTGCAGGTCTTTTACTAAAAAAGATCTAATTAAATCTGACAACAAATAAAATGCAGGATGAAGTTTTATCTTCTTATTCATTTAATTGTTTTATGCGATAGTCCAATTGAAGTTACATTAGTTAGTCTTTTATTGATTATGAAATACATTCAAGTTTATGAAGATGAAAATTTTGAATCCACTGACTCTAGATCGCAAGAGGGATGTGAGCTACCTCACAAATCTTCCAGGTGCACAAGAAAGGCTGCGTATTTTTAAAGCTGATCTAGACAAACCAGAGAGTTTCAATCCACCAATTGAAGGCTGTATTGGTGTTTTTCATGCTGCACATCCAATTGATTTTGAGAACAAAGAGAGTGAAGAAACAATAACACAACAATCGATTAATGGGACTTTAGGTATTTTACAGGCGTGTCTGAATTCAAAGACAGTTAAACGTGTCGTGTACGCTTCTAGTGCATCTACGGTTATGGTTGATACTTCAAGTATAATACATGAAAACTCATGGACTAACGTGGATCTTGTGAGAACGTTAAAGCTTTTCGGAGGTTCTTACGCGATTAGCAAGACCTTAACGGAAAAGGCAGCTCTGGAATTTGCAGAAAAAAATGGAATTGATTTTGTGACTGTAATCCCTACTTGGATACATGGCCCCTTTATTACTCCTCAAATTCCTGGCTCTGTTCGCTCATCTATGGAAATGATTCTTGGTATGTATTAACTTATATTATCATTGATTCTCATTTGCCTAAGGTATGTTTTAATTAATAGTAGTCGGAAATTTTTGCAGGTCATCAAAATAATAGCATGAATTATCCTGCAGTAGTACCTTTTGTACATGTTGATGATGTGACAAATGCTCACATCTTCCTTCTTGACTATCCTAACGCGAAAGGGAGGTATATCTGTTCAGCTGTTGAAATAACACGTGAAAAGCTAGCTGAATTTCTTACAACTAGATACCCTGAATTTCAAAAACAAATTACTGAGTAAGTATAGACTCTTCATTCTTGCCTTAACTTCGATTTGTTGCTTGTTTTAAATTTTTCCCTCTTGGATAATGAGAGGAAAGAAGAAAGCGAAATATTAATTAATTAACTTTCTCAAAAGTGTATCAAAACATAATATACTCTTTCAAGGTTTACATATGACCTACGCTCCCTATTTTAAATAGAATGTTTTCTGCCAAAGAACATGTGATATTGTTCTCATAAGCTAAGTAATGCATATTTTGATTGCTTATATTAATATCTAGGCACAAGTCAAATTAAAATTTTTAATTTGAGACAATGAAAGAAACTAATTGAAGTATTGCAGGTATCGAGGGACAAGCAGTGAAGAACTTAAAATACCTAGCCTTTCACCAAAAAAGCTTTTGGAGACTGGATTTAAGTACAAGTATGGTCTTGAGGAAATGTTTGATGGAGCAATCGAGTGTTGTAAACAAAGAGGCATACTCTAATCCCTTTGTTTCAAATGTAATTAGAAAGTAGCCACTTGTTAATGTGAAAATAAAATTTGGACAAAATATCACGAGCTAAAACACGGAAAAACTCCAGAAAAATTCAGGAAGTTCAAAAATTTATGAGTTCAAACTCCAGGAACGATTCATGGAGTTTAAACTTTGACAATCTAAGTGTACTGAAAATTTGGTAGAGTTTCAAACTCCATGAACTCATGGAGTTCAAACCTTTATCAGTTCAAACTTTCAGAATGATTTTTGGAGTTCAAACTTTCACGGTATAAGTGTGAGAATTTGCTGGAGTTTCAAATACCATGAATGATTCATAGAAATTCAAACCTTTGTATCCAGAAATATTCATGGAATTCCAACTTCACAGCATTCTAAGACTGACCAATCTAGTTGAGGCATTTTATCAAACAACTCTCTAGCATAATTCAATTACAGCTTGACGAAAAAAGAATAATTCAACTACCAAATGAAATTAAATTTAAGAATTAGAGATCGTAACCTCAAGTCTAATGCCAGATGCGACAGTGATTGACGTGATCTGCTTGACAATAGCTGGGATTCCCACTGCTTTGACATTGTTTCAGTGATATGTAAGCCATACTTTGTTTTCGCCTTTGAGGCTTTGAGTGCTGAGATGGTGTTACGAAGACGGTTTGGCTTCGTTTCAACGATTAATGGATTTCATGCCTGCATAGAAAATTCAATAGTTATACTAACATTAAAAAATCCACGTTTTATTGTCATGAATTAGAGGTCCAAAGTAATTGTCAAATAAAATGTAGTGAAGGGGATTCGAAGCTTAGTTACAGTGTTTAGGAATGCTCAGCTAATTCGAAATGAAGGGTCAGGATTAGAAGTTCATTAATAAGGAGGAAGGGTCACGATCACGCTACGTCAGTAGATTGTTAGTTTGTTACAAAAACCCAACGCCAAGAGAGAGAAGGCAACGAATTTTCGGTAATTTCATTTCTCCCCCAAATTCTTCTTCTCTCTTCTGTTCTCTCTCCTTCTCTTCTTCTTCTAATTTTCTTCTCATCTATTTCTGCAGATTCTCAGTGGCTATGGCGACCTCTCTTTTCAGTTTTTCTAGTTAATTCAGTTATTTTTCATTGTAATTGTTTTCAGCTTTTCAGTTAATATAACCAGAAAATTGTCCCACAAAGTGTTGATTTCATTTTCGAATTGCAATTGAATTTAGATCCTTATCGGGATCCTTACAATTGGTATCAAACCCGCGATTCAGCGACTTGTGTGTGAGGAATGGCAGAAGGAACTCGTTTGAAGTTGATGGACGATAAACTTGCTAAGCATGACGAACTGTTGGCAGATGTGTTGAGCATCCAAGAGGAGGTTCGTAATACTCAGACGGGAATCCAAGGAACTTTGGAGTTGATTCTCGAGAGGTTGACAGCACTGGAAAGAGCTCCAGCAGGACCAAACAATGGAGGAGGATTGCTACCCCTTCCAGTTGTGGACAACAGACAGAACATGCCTCAAAATACGGCCATACCACCTCCTAAATAGGAATTGCCCACCTTTGAAGGATATGAGCCCAAGGTATGGTTGCGCAAATGTGAAAGGTATTTTAAGTTGTATAAAACTCAGGAAGATCAAAAAGTAGAAGTCGCTGCTCTTTATTTGAATGGATTAGCTGAGATGTGGTATCACTCCTTGTTGTTAAGCCAAGGAGTATTAACTTGGGTTGAATTTAAGAAAGAATTTATTAGTAGGTTTGGAGTAGTATTAGCTGACGATGTAGTCGAAGAGTTCAATAAGCTATCGCAAGAAGGAACTGTGGATGAATTCCTAGGGAAATTTGAAGATCTCAAAGCCTAGATGTTGGTTCGAAATCCACAGCTAGATGAATCTCGCTTCCTATCCAGTTTTATAGGGGCTTTTAAGGAGGAAATCAAGTTTGGAGTCAAGTTGTTCAAGCCTACGACATTGAGGTTTGCCATTGAGCAGGGTAGGTTACAGGAAAGGGCTATTGAGGCTGCACAAAAGAAGGAGAAGGCTAATGCTAAGAGCCTTCTAAGGGTAAACCTCACAGCTATCACTAGAAACCTACCAGCAAGCAAGACCACTACATTTAGATTGAACCCTAAGGTGTATGAACACATGAATAACAATCACTTGTGTTACAGATGTGGGAAAAAATATAACAGTGGCCATCAGTGCAAAGTGAAGCAATTGAACTGCCTCAAGGGTAAGGTGGAAGCTGAACCTCAACTGGAGGAACCTGAGATTACAGAAGTGCCAATACCATCTGATTTGATTATTGAAGGTGGAGTGGAACAGGAAATTCAGGAAACCATATGTATGAATGCACTTTCAGGCAATATCCAAGGAGAGAATTCCATTCTAGTAGGGGGGGGGGGGTTATGAAGAAAAAGCAAGTCATAGTGATGATTGATTCAGGGAGCACAAACAGTTTCGTAAATGAGCACACGATTAAAGAAACTGGCTATCAAGCTAGTTTTTGTCCACCAGTGAGGGTGACATTAGCAGATGGTAATTATGTCATGTGCACTACCCACTGCAAGGGATTCACATGGAAGATGCATGGCAGGTCATTCCAAGAAGGTCTTCTCACAAATGCTCCAGCAACATTCCAGGCCCTAATGAACCAGGTTTTTCAACCTTATCTGAGGAGATTTGTCCTAGTATTCTTTGATGATATACTCATTTACAGTTTAAATTTGGAGGAGCATGTTAGACATTTGATGGCTGTGCTAGACCTCTTGAGGAAGCATACCTTATTTGCTAAGAAGTCCAAGTGTTCCTTTGGACAAGCACAAGTGGAATACTTAGGTCATGTCATTACAAAAGAGGGAGTTTCCACTGATCCTGCTAAGATTCAAGAAATGGTAAACTGGCCCTTAGAGGATTCCTAGGACTGATTNGCTCACAAATGCTCCAGCAACATTCCAGGCCCTAATGAACCAGGTTTTTCAACCTTATCTGAGGAGATTTGTCCTAGTATTCTTTGATGATATACTCATTTACAGTTTAAATTTGGAGGAGCATGTTAGACATTTGATGGCTGTGCTAGACCTCTTGAGGAAGCATACCTTATTTGCTAAGAAGTCCAAGTGTTCCTTTGGACAAGCACAAGTGGAATACTTAGGTCATGTCATTACAAAAGAGGGAGTTTCCACTGATCCTGCTAAGATTCAAGAAATGGTAAACTGGCCCTTAGAGGATTCCTAGGACTGATTGGCCACTACAGAAAGTATGTGGATAATTACGGAACCATATGTAGACCCCTCACTGATCTATTAAAAAAGGATGCATTTAAGTGGAGTCAAGAAGCTGAGTTAGCTTTTTCAGCTCTCAAATCTGTCATGTCCTCAACACCAGTACTTGCATTGCCTGACTATGCTAAGGAGTTTGTGGTTGAAACTGATGCAAGCCATGGGGGAATTGGAGTTGTGCTCATGCAAGAGGGTAAACCAATTGCTTATTTCAGCAAGGTGCTAGCTCAGAAACACAGGGGAAAGTCCATTTATGAAAAAGAGTATATGGCCTTATTGAGTGCTGTAGATAAATGGAGGCACTACTGGCAGTTCAAACATTTTATAGGTAGAACAGATCACCATAGTTTGAAGTATCTTCTAGAGCAAAAGGTAACTTCAGCTATCCAACAGAAAGGCTTAACTAAGCTAATTGGGCTTGACTATGAATTTCAGTATAAAAAGTGAGCAGAAAATAGAGTAGCTAATGCTCTTTCTAGACAGCAAGAAGGGTTAGAAACTCAACTAAATTAAAGATCGAGACAGCTTTTGGCCATCAGTGTTTCTATTCCTACTTGGATGCATGAGGTAACTGCTAGCTATGAAGAAGACCTTTAGGTATATGAATTAATTCTTCAACTTTCCATTGACTTACAAGGCCCCAGTACTTGGCATTACTCAGCAGGGATTCTCAGAAATAAAGGGAAGGTGTACATAGGAGAAAATGGCAACCTAAGGCATCAGTTAAGGTGAAGTCCCCTTGGGCCATCTTTTTCGTGATTGTGGCTCAGGTTTTGCAATCGCGACTACACCAGTAAAACTACTAATGCAGTTATCCCAACTCCAAATATGTCCCAAACGTGTTCAAATATCTCTAGTCTATATCTAAACCATTCAAGCAAGTCACAAACTACTATATCAACTTATAAACATGTCAAAACTCAAATTATGATAAAAATATGCAAAACAAGAGGTTGAATTATTACATTATCAATCTATATATTGGCGAGATCGAGAGCATATGTACCATTGTTCTTCCCCTTAACAAGGAATCTTAAAGGGAATATTGGTTCAAATTAGTAAAACATACATACACAATATAACATTATTCTATCATTTAAAAAGGATGTTTACCCTTAGAACGGATAGCAATTAAATTTGTATGCGGTTTTAGGGATATGTGGATTGATTCAACACAAATAATCAAAGATATTAGATAAACGAGTTAAAGACAAAATGAATAACCAAACCAGTTATAATGTTATGGCCCAGCTTGAACTTTGGGTGGACGTTTTGCCTTCGATCGGACCCTCGGTTTGGAGCTAATAAAGAATGAATAACAAACAATAAAGTAATAGCTTTGCTATAGCTAGAGAGCAGTAAAAATAAAATTGTATTGTCTTGGCTTGCGTGTTACAATGTGTGTCCTATTAAATAAATAGTTTTCCCTTTTATATAGTAGGAGAGTTTCATCCTTAGTACAATTCTAAAAAGGGTAAAAATCCTCCTTTCTCGTTAATTACTGATTAGTTAACAACATCGGGCGAGATCTACACCATGATATCTGATTGATTGCGGATATCATGACCCTCTGTTAGTCATGTGCAACCGTTTGCCATGTTTTCAGAGGTCTTGGAGCTCGTTCTGGGTTCAGGGAGTGTTGTGTTATCAGGTACGATGGCAAGTGCTCCGTTCGGGCCTTGATAAAAAGAGTTCCTAGCTTCGAGTTTGATCTCATATATTTATACTCTTACTTTGTTTGATCCACCGGGAAATCAGGGTGTGCGTTAACCCCAATTTCACCCGTATACAAATAGTACCCTCATTTCCCACAGAGTAGGTTTTGCTGAAACGATGAGAAATGATAGTTGAACCCCAGTTCCTTCCTTCATACATTACAACCAAGGTGACAAATAAGCCAAAGCATCCCATCGATCGCGTCATTCTAACTTCGGACACGTGTCGGTCATTGGCTGGTTGTCTTGGAATGCAAAACGTCCCGTAATGATTGCATTTTCCCTATAAAATCTTTGACCTTTTATAATTCTTTAATTTTCCGATCCTGGCTTTTATCTTCAAATTTTCTAGCGGCTTTCAACTCTTTCAAATCTTTATATCTTCATCTCTAATCTTCATATTTTTTCTTAGATTTCTAACCCAGATCTTCATATCTTCATCCTATCTTCAATCTTTCATACCTTTCCTTTGAATCTTCATACTTCCCTATATCACGATGGCTAAAACTTCCAAAGTCGGTGCCTCAACAGTTGCCCCTTCTTCTTCTCACCTGGTCGTAGATGCCGAGGTGGCTGCTCCTCAGGTGGCTCCAGGGCCTCCCATGAAAAGCTTCATACCCGGGGGCTACTCTATGGGGATGACTTTAATGTTGAGAAGCCCTCTGCCAAACAAGGCTGGGGTGAAGGAGCATGGATGGGTATTAAAGATATCCTTCCCAAAGTCTGAGAGGACTATAAATGGGAAGGCAATGACATGGTTGTCCCTGGGCCTAAGGGCGATATTACTACCCACGTGGTAAGGTATTTAAGTGCTTACAATTACCCTTTCACGTTAGGCCTGGTAGACCCAATAATCCTGGCCTTTTGTAAGAGGTACGAGGTGTGCCTCAAGTAAATTCACCCGTCCCTCTAGAGGAGCCCTAAGAAGTATAGGGTACCAGACTATGACTTCCTTCACCACTTTAGGGATGAGCCCTAAGAATATGAAACCTTTGTCACCCATGGATCGACCCCAACCGGGGAGCAAGCGACGATCGAGGAAGGGGGACACAAGGTCGATCCCCTTCCGATTCTAAAGTCCGGAGTGTAGATGGAGGCTATGAACTCCCAAGAAGTCATTCATATTCTGAAGGAGGTGACTAGTGTGATCGATATCATCAAGATGTCCTCATATACTAAGTCTAGGCTTGAAGAGGCCCAAGCGGGTAAGGAAAAGTCAAGTGAAGGAGTTT